CTGGTGCCCGTGGGCACTCAGCCCACCCTCTCGAGCCTCCACCGCACTTCTCACCCGTTGGGATGTGTGAGAGTTGAATCCACTGTCTGTCCGTGGCTCCAAGGCTCCTCTCCCACTATAGTTCCATTGTTTTCCAGGGGATTACTCCACTATTTAGTTGCAATTCCAGTTTGATCTTGGGAGGAGGAGGTCAGCGTGACTCCCATTCATTCCTCTGCCATCTTTCTCCCCTCCAAATTTTGATATTTTTAAGTAAGAAGTTATTCTATTATATTATAAATAATTTGAAGATTTTGGCTTCATGTGACTCCACCCTCCATGATTCCTTTTCCTGTGCCATAATAGTTTTGTTAAATTAAATCACTTCAGGTTTTTGATTTAGTTATAAAATTTCCTCTATATTCTTTTACCTTTACCTATTTTATTCATAAAGGGAATGGAGAAACTAGTTTATATAACCCTTTTAACATCTCATGTTATGTCAAAATATTCATATAAAAGGTATTCTATATCCCCAGAATTTTCTTTTTTTTTATTCATCCTTTTACTTTAATATAACTGAGTCTTATACATACCCTGGAAAATGTCTTAAACATAAATAATATTGTGACATAAAAACCAACAACAAAAGAAAAACTAAGTCTCTAAGATTTGGATAAGAGACTCTTTGTCTCACATCCCAGATGGAGATCACTTGTTTTCCTAGAGAGTTGGGACTTGGGGTGGTCTTTGAATTAAGAAATGGCTTGGCAAATGGGAGTACCAGACTCTTGCCAGGAATAAAAAAAAATACTTTGGAAGAAAAATGAAGAAAAGCCTTAAAAGGAACACATCTAACAGATCCACAAAGTAGCTTGATTGACTGAAAACCAACCAATTAGCTGACCATTCATCATGTTCAAGCCCACACATGTGGACACACACACACAAACACACATCTATTGTTTTTACTTCTATCCAACAAGAGCTATGTGAACATTAAATTTTAGTTTTGACTAATAGAAGGGGTTGGGGAAAATTTTAATTATCCCAGCCCCTTTTTGATATTTTAGTTTGTATCTTCCTTCTTAAATTATTTGATTATATTTATATGTAACAGAATAAAATAAAGCACTAACAGGTATTAGAGTAATACAATGGCATTTCCCTGTAGTTAATAGAAATTATTCTTTAATCATTCACCCAAAACTTCTAGCAAAGGACACTCAAGAATAAGAACTTAATGCACCAGGTATAGGGAATAAGAGAAAACTTGGCCCAGGAAGTGATGGATGTAATAACAAAGGCTATAGCTTATATTTATTTATTAAGTTGGTATTTATTTTGAATTATAGTAAAATACAATTAATATTAATTGAGAATATATATTTATTAAAGGCTAGAACTAGATGCCCTTTAAAGGTGGGGAATGGTTTTGGGAGGTTATAATATTAAATTCTTGAGTTGGAATAACAGGTGCTAAAAAAGGAACAGATAACCTACTCTGTTATTACTAAGAAAAAATAAAACAGGATTTGGAGGTGTGGCAAAAGCAAGATAGGAGAAGAAAGGATTATGGAGCAAAGCATTAAAATACTATTATAATAAGGCATTTTAAAAACATGGAGATCTGATATTCCATTTGAAGTTTAGGGCATTATTATGATGTAAATTTCCATTCTCTGTCCCTGAAGACTTCAGTGGGTTTACTTTCACATAAATGCTTTTGTAGAAGTGTTATGTTATTCATACTCATTTTCATTTTGTTTTGTTTACTTTGGATAATAAAGAGTCAGGCTAGGAGCTGATGTTGATGTTTGAGTTGAGGTTTTGTAAAATATAATTATAGCAGAAAGAGTAGAAACATTATTCGTACAATGAGGACTTCTGGCCAAGATGGAGGTGTAGGTAGACACACTTTTCCTCCATCATACATCCAAAAGAAGGACAGTAATAAATTTAAAAACAAAAAATAACCAGAACTGACAGATAATCAAACTGTATGGAAGTCCAACAACCAAGGAGCTAAAGAAGAAACATTCATCCAGATTGATAGGAGGGGCAGAGATGGGCAGCCAGGGCAGAGAGGATGTGCAGCAAGGCAGTGGCTGGCAGACCGGGCAGTCCCACATTTGCTTGCAGATAAACCATGAGGAACAGCTGGGGAGTGAGACAGACCATGAAATCCAGGGTTCTAGTGTAGGAAAACAAAGCCTCAAAACCTCTGGAGGTAAACATCTTTGAGGGTTGTGGCAGAAGAAGAAACTTCCAGCCTCATAGGAGAGTCCACTGGAGAGACTCATGGGCTCCTAGAATGTACATAAACCCACCCACCCAGGAATCAGCACTAGAAGGGCCCAATTTGCTTGTGGGTAGCAGGGGAAGTGACTGAAAGCCAGCAAGAGCCGAGCAAGTGGCATTGTGCCCTCTCTGACCCCTCCCCCCCACAGAAACATAATGCAGTGACCTGGGTTGCTCTGCCCTGGTGAATATCTATGGCTCTGCCCCTCCCAATGTAATAGGCATTCTGAGACAAATTTATATATATATATATATATATATATATATATATATATCTCCCAAGTGAAAGAACGGATCAAAGCTCCAAAAATAGAACTAAGCAATGAACAGATAGCCAACCTATCAGATGCACAGTTCAAAACACTGGTAATCTGGATGCTCACTAAATTGGCTGAGTATGGTTGCAAAATAGAAGAAAAAAATGAAGGCTATGCAAAGTGAAATAAAGAAAAATATACAGGGAACCAACAGCAAACAGAAGGAAACTGCAACTCAAATAAATGATTGGGAACAAAAGAAAGAGATAAACATTCAACCAGAACAGAATGAAGAAACAAGAATTTTAAAAAATGAGGAAAAGCTTAGGAACCTCTGGAACAACTTTAAACATTCCAACATCTGAATCATAGGGGTACCAGAAGAGGGAGAGGGAGAGCAAGAAACTGAAAACTTACTTGAAAAAATAATGGAGAACTTCCCCAATCTGGCCAAGGAAATAGACTTCCAAGAGATCCAGGAAGCTCAGAGAGTCCTAAAGAAGTTGGACCCAAGGAAGCACACACCAAAGCACATCATAATTATATTACCTAAGATTAAAAATAAGGAGAGAATCTTAAAAACAGCAAGGGAAAGACAGTTACCTACAAAGGAATTCCCATAAGACTATCAGTTTATTTCTCAAAAGAAACCTTGCAGACAGGAAGGGGCTAGAAAGAAGTATTCAAAGTCATGAAAGGCAAGGACCTACATCGAAGATTACTCTATCCAGCAAAGCTATCATTTAGAATGGAAGGACAGATAAAGTGCTTCCCAAATAAAGTCAAGTTAAAGGAGTTCATCATTGCCAAGCCCTTATTATATGAAATGTTAAAAGGACATCTAAGAAAAAGAAGAAGATCAAAAACTACGAACAATAACACGACAACAAACTCACAACTATCAACAACTGAGCCTAAAAAATAAAAACAAAAACAAACTAAGCAAACAAGTAGAACAGGAACGGAATCATAGAAATGGAGATCAGAGTAGAGGGAGAGGAGGAAGAATGGGGGAAAAGGTACAGGGAATAAGCTGCATAAATAGTAGGTACAAAGTAGACAGGGGGAGGTTAAAAATAGTATAGGAAATGGAGAAGTCAAAGAACTTATATGTATGACTCATGGACATGAACTAAGAACAGGGGGGAATGTTGGAGGGACAGGTGGTACATGGTGGAGGAGAATAAAGGGGAGAAAAAAAGGGGGACAACTGTAATAGCATAATCAATAAAATATATATTTTAAAAAAAGAAACATTATTCATACAATGAACTGATTTAGTGCCTGCAATAGCTTGGAGTCAGAGGTAAGCTTGAGACCATAGGTCCCTGAGGATGACTGCATAAATCTCCAGAGGACCATTGACTTTTCCTGAGAGCAGAAAAGGAATCAAGCCAACTGCACCTATATATAAAGGAGGCAGAAGACCCCAGCCAGTTTATAATCACATATATTTTTCCTCAAATCCTTTTTAGAATAGAGGACTGATCAATATAAAATATTTATTTATGCATATACATATAAACTTGATTGAATAAGTGTATTCAAAATAAGGCAAGAAATATAAAGTAAGTCATCCAACCACAGAAGACTTTAGATGCAGGTTGTCATGTTCTGAATTTGTATCAAATGAAGAACTGTGATATTTTGAAGTGAATGCCAACAAATAAAGGTAAACATAGAAAGGACAGAGAAGGCAAGGATTCTTAGGCCTATATGTGTACTTATATGTGCATATCTGGTTTTGTTGAAAATGAAAGTCTGATCTTTCACTGCATGTATCGCTCCAACCATTTTAGACTACTTGGAGTATACTATCACAGCTTATGTTTCCCTGAGAAAGAAGAAAGAATAGTAAAAGGGACTTTCCCTGACACCAATACATTTAAAATCTATTTGGGGAGATAAGATTTAAAGACATAAAAATACTGTTAATTGATTTACCATTTGTAGAACATTTTTACATACATTATCTCACTTAACCTTATAATGGTCCATTGAGTTTGGGAGGAAGGTCAGTTTTCACTATTTCCATTTGGAGATAAGACTACCAAGGCCCAAAGAGAGAAGTGACTTAAATATGAACACAGAGCCATACTTCATACTTCACACTATTTTACACTCTTCTGAATAAAATAATTAGAATTTAATTATATATAGAAAATTATATATGTCTTGTGGGTAATAAGCACGGTCAAACATAAATATTGCAATGTGTAAATAATATTACACTATAATTTCTTGCTAAGGAATTAGCAAGGAGGAAACATCATAGTGTGGTTAATGTAAATATTATATATATATATTTCATATACAATACAGCTTCATTGTTTACTAAAATACTTATATAAATCTATTTTAGTTTTTATTATATCATTCCCAGGTTGTATCTTATCATTTTTTTTAACTACACATGTTTTACTAACAAAGTACTCCAAGAGTGAATTCCAAACGGCTTCCTACCTTGCAAAGTTCAAGGAACTTCTCACTGGTATATCTCATAGGATGCTCAGTGAAGGTAGCATAAGGTACCTCAGTGGACCACGGGTTCCAACGGGACAATAGAGATTGCTGCTCCGGACTCCCCCAGTAGATCCTAAGTCCTTCTCCTTGTCTCCTACAATAAAGGAATTTTTCCTTTAGATTTGTCATTTCCATTATATTAAAGCAAAAATGAAAGGGTAGGAAAGGAATGGGATGTCTCAGTCAGGCTTATATTGTTGTTGAAATAAGTGGCTTAACTATCAACTAGTTGAGCTGTTCCAAAGAATTTAGAAGAAAAAGATGAATTTGCTTTAAAAAATGATGAGTTCAAAGTGTGGTCAAAAATTCTATGTGAAAATTCTATGTGAAAATCACATTTGGAAATGTGATTCTGGCATTCAGGACAGATGCCAGGGCTGGGCATTTGACCACTAACCTCTTGTCAATATTTTGATGGTACAAGTTAAAAGAAAATGGGAGCGGGAAGAGTCAGATGGTGGGACAAGAACTGAAACAGGTAAATTTGGGAGATAATTTCAAAGAAAAACAGAGATGACAACAATTTCCACAGAGCCACAAATACAAGCAAGGACTAAGAAAAGACGGGATTCTCAAATAGGAAGATATGGATGACTAATTCAAAATATTCTGTGACCTCAACTTCTGTATATCACAATTTTCTATTCCCTGCATACATTCCATCCAGCAAAATTTCAGCAACAAACATGTCAAAGCATATATGGAGGCTGTCCCTGCCCTTTTCCATTAAATTCATAGTTCTGACCCATTAGCATGTAGGAGGCAGCCACTACCTGGTAGAGCCCAGGCCTGGTCATCTGGTAAACCCAAGTGCAGAGCAAGAGAAAACTGTCTTGGGAGTAGTGGGAGGGAATTTGTGGCAGGGGAGTATGGGCACATTGAATTAAAAAAATTGTAGTTTCTGTGGCCTCTTCTTTTGCATGTGTCCATTAGAATTTTTGGTTTGTGGTTTTAGACATCTCAGATTGCAGAGAGATCCCTGAATGTTAGGACAAGCTCAGGAAGTTTGCATTTGACAAACTTTAAAACTAAGGTGCCTGTGATTCTAAAGAGCCCCATGGAACATCACAGAGGTCTTGTTTCTTCTAGAAATTAAATCCTGGGATCTAGAATGAAAAACTGGAGCTTAATTGTGGTCTCTTTGCAAAGCTGTGACTTCCTGTATCAAGGAAGGATTCCTTTGGGAATGCTCTTGTGGTTTCTGAATGTTTATTCACGTAGAGATGTGGATAAACACCATCTCACACATAAGCATGTAACACTCATCTTTCAAATGGCTGCTCCCTGAGCTGCTTCTTACAAAAGGAAAGTAAGAAAAGAGTATGGCACATTCTGCTGTCCTGTTTTCATATTTTTGATGATTATGTATGAAAGCTGACACTTAACCTTTTTTTGTACTTAATCCTTTACCCAGAAAGAAAAGCAAAGGAAAAGGAAAAAAAAAAAGAGAAAAAAAGAAAAATATTGTACATACCTCTAAAGTTCCCTTTCTAACCCCTCACCTTCTTAGTTGCTATACTTTATCATCCTCCCTGTACTTTTCTTCATTTTTTTCTAGGCCTCATTATAAACCTAAAGCTCAATGAATATTCTATGCATGATGATTAATGGAGCATTCTGGCCTGAGTCCAGTGAAACAGCTTGCACAATAGAATTATTTACTGATTCATATGTCAATTTATGTATTGGGTGCAATTCTGCTTTTATCCAAAAGGGATGAAAATATGCCAAGATAGATTATCTGATAAGTATACTTTATGTTATTTCATTTCAGGGAAACCCCAAATGAAGTCTAAGCATGAAATTTAAGAGGGACCCTATTTCTAAAAAGACAATCAGTTTGAGTATGGCAATGATCTTTCTCAAAGATATAATATATTTCTAAGTATACAAGTTCAGCCAATCCTCTCACCTGGGCTCCAGAGGTAATAGATGGAAAGATAAATCTAGAACTGAATAGTCTCTCCAAAGGTAACACTAAGGTAGTGCTTCTCACAAAAGCCTTTAGTACCAGAGGTCTATGAAAATCTATCATCTTCTCTTCTGTCAAATGTCACTAGGGCAATTGTGGAGAATATGGACTCTTTCATGACCAGAAACACTTTATTAAACTGTTACTTGTGTTTACCATGAGAGAAATCATATGCGGTAGAGTGAAAAATGCAGCAAACAGGATGTCAGGTAGTCCAGCATTAGAGTCTTGGTCTTGATACTTAATGCTGTGTGACTAGGGGTAAGCTTATTTCTTTTTCTAAATCTCAGTGTCTCCATATGTTCTTTAGAGTGTCTCCATATGGTAACATTCCAGAGCCCCACTAACCCTGTGTGAATTGTGTGTGCAGCTATAGTGCCATTAGCATTCACCCAGTCAAGGAAAGATGATCCATAAAAAGCCTCTGAGTTATATATTTAATTTAGAGGCATTAAATTAGCACCCCCCACCCCCACCCAGCAGAACACATCCTCTGCTACAAAGGCTACACCAAGTATTGTCCCATCACTTTTAGGCAATTTTAGCACCTACCACACTATTTCACAAACATCTAAAAGCACCAATCAGCCAGTATGGAGGAATAGTAGTTTAAGGCTTATAAGCTACAGAATGTCAGAGCTAGAAGGGTTTTTGGAAGCTATAACCCTTTTTAGAAGTGTCTTTTTTTTCTGGAAATTGGAAAACTGAGACTCAGAAAGGACCAGGGATTTCTTAAACCATCACCACAAACAGAGCTGAGTTAGAGAGAGACATAGTTTCCTAAAACTTCATTTAGGTGTATTTTCACCATTCTGGTCTATTGTTACAAGATACATTCCAAGTTAAGGTCCTGCCATTACACAACACAGCCTTATTTCCAATTAGACACAGAGTTAAAAGAATTGCCCTAAGGAGCCTGCCACCTTTTGTGGGCAAAAAACATGCTCAGGAATTCCAGCTAAAGGTCAGAAAGAAAATCTCTCTCAAATGGAACTCTGTATTTTTTATATATACCCAACATTAGCAATGCTGAGACTGTAGAAAAATAAGGTAAATCAGGGGATGATTATTAAAAAGTTATATCATCAAGGTTAGAAGGCTGAGTCTTTCTCACTGAGCTGTTATGGTTAAGTTTTCAAAGGGTGGGTACAGTCCCAGGAAAAGAATGACAACATCAAATTTTTAAGCAAAGAAAAACCATTTGAATTGCATCCTTTGGATTCTTCCTTTAATCACCCTAATAAAACCCTTTTTTCCATAGGTTGCTCCATTGCAGCAGGTAAAAACCATTGTGCCTTCTCCTAAGCAACTGAGACTTCTGTCTTAGGCCCACACTAGTTGTTTGCCTTTTTTTTTTTTTTTTTTTTTTTTTTTTTTGCTTTGAGCATTTCACACCAGTTTTCTGAACTTTAGGTAGCAGTAATTTCATAAGAAACAAGAAGATAATGGATGAGAGAATGCTTTGTATGCTGTAAGGCATTGGTCTACTAGCAAATATAGTACTGGCATGTACTATAATGCTTATTGTGTACTGTTAAAATGTAAAAATATGTAAACTTCATATTTTTACAGGTTGTTTAACCCTCATAGCAATTTCTAAACTTCTTTGGTAGAAATAGATGAAGTTCACAGGAAATAAGATAAAGAATTTGGCCAGGCTTGATCAGATCACCAGGTCAAGAACTGCTAGTGGAATAGAATAAAAACAAACAAGAGAAACAGCATTAGACCTGTCTTACTAGTCTAAAGTTCATGTGCCTGACACTTCGAAAGGCTAAAACTTAAAACATTAGAGTTTATTGTAAGAAAAGTTTTATTGATCTAGAAGGCAACAACTGAGAAGAAGGGAGACTTAGTGGTGCCTTAAATCCATCTTAAGAAAGGACAGAGTTCAAGCTTCTTTCATGTCAAAGAAAGAGCAAATAGAAACGTCAAGAGGTGATTAACAAATGCAGATATCTGGGCACTAGTAGGGGTCAGAGAAAGATTGTGCTTAGTCTCTTGACCCTAGTTGATGTGAGTCTGGTCGGAGGTCCCTGCAAATCTTTGATAGACAGTACATACTTCCCTTATCTCCTCTGGAGAGGCCCTTTCTGGTAGGAGTTATTTTTGTAAAACTCAAGCTGCAAGCAGAATTCCTTCATGATTAGCATGTCTATATGCAAGCAGTTATTTACCTGAAGGCCATGGAAACAAAGCAGGATTGAACAAGATGGAGTCAGAGAGGATGAGCATTTCACTCTGTTACAGTTATAACTTATTTTGTTCTCAATTTCTATCCTCAAATAAACCAGCCATATCTGGCCTCTATTCCCACTTCTTACTCTTCACTTTTAGTAAACATCAAAATCTCACAGAATGGTGTAAAAGTAGAGGAAGGGGTCCATAAGGACAAATAAGAACTTAATGGAAGAAGGCAATTTATAGTACTGGGGGGTTTTTAGGATCCTAGACTGAATTGGACGGCCCCTTAAAAGTGTGTTTCCAATTCTTTCATTTTATAGATATATACATTGAAGACCAGAATTTTTACATATCAGAGTTCTTCCTTTAGTCATTTTAATTATATGTTCTATTCAGTGACTCAGACTCAGGATTCTACTCAAATACAATTGTTGGTGGGGTGGAAGGTCTAAACAATTACTACTTTAAACCATTATAACATCCTCAAAGATGATTTGCCTTCTGCACCATAGAAGTTCAGAAGGTCCAATAATGAAAAATAAATATGGTTTAACAACACAGAAAGGCACTGCAAGTTGAACAGAGGTAAGACTTTCTTCAATAATAAGCTTTATAAGACAAGACATTCTTTCTATTGGAAAAGGCTCCCTTCCGTGAAGTCATTTTTAGCTGAACTAGAATAATATGCCAGCCAGTCAACAGTCTGGGTTAATTTGTTCATTCCACACATTCTTCGTCTTTTGGAGAGAAGACACACATCCTTTTTTTGTAGCACAATATAGCCACCTTCCTTTTCTTTGATTTTTCTACTCTCTGTTCATCCTGGCCTTCGCAGATGCTGGGCTGAGGCATTAAACTACCTGTTAGAAGAAGTGAATGAAGATGCCAGGCTCCCGGAAGGAGAAATGGCAGCTTCCATGATTACCTCTGTCAGTTGC